GCCCAGCGCGGAGGCGGCGGCACCGAGGGACGCGGCCATGGCGCGCTGCTGCGCGGCGCTGGGCGCCTGCCTGTTCGAGTACGACACGCCGCGCATCGTGCTCATCCGCAGCCGCAAAGTGGGGCTCATGAACCGCGGGGTGCAGCTGCTCATCCTGGCCTACGTCATCGGGTGAGTGCGACCGGCCCCTGCACCCCGAGAGCCGGGCCTGGGCCGTCAGGCCCCCCCCATCCCGCGGGGGCCGGCCCCCGCCCTTCCGTGGCGCTGGGGTGGCCCTGAGGCGGGGCGGGGTGGCCCTGACCCTCAGTCTGGCCCCGCCTGGCCCTTAGGCCCTTGCTGAGCGGTGTGGGGTCTGTTGGTGCCCCAGCTGCCGCCCCCCAGGATCCGCCCAGGACAGGCGAGTGGGGTCCACCAACCCGCTGAGCTTCACGCCGGGGGTTTGTGGGGTGCGGGCGTTTGTGGGGCACCGGCGTTTGTGGGGCGCCAGCCCCGCCCTTCGCTGCTCCCTGTGCCCCCTGGACGCTGTCACAGCGGATGAAACCTGAGGCCGGCGGGAGTCTTGGGCGACAGGGAAGTCTCGGGGGACAGGCCCTCGTGTGCCCCCGAAGTGCCCAGTAGAACAGCGTGAGGTCATTAGTACCACTGTCTCCCCCAGACCTTCTGACTTCACTGAGAGTTCGGCGGTGTCCAGGTGATCAGGTGTGCAGCAAAGCTTAGGGACCAAGTGACCCCCAAACTGAGCTGCTCCTGGAAGTGACACTGCCCCAGGCTGGGGTGGGCTGGGAGTCACCTCGGGCACTGCAGGTGCCTCCAACACCTGTCAGCCCAGCAGCGGAGGACTGAGGGCTGGCGCGGGGGTCCCCGCTAAGTGCCACCAGCGCACGTCTCCCCCCGGTTCCGGTGGTACACGCCTGAGTGTTGCGACATTTTCATGTGATGACAACAGAATCAGATAAGGAGAACCGCATGCTGAGTGTCCCCCGCGGGAGGACTGCTGGGGTCACCAGGGTAACGAGACCACATTTCACTAGGGGGAACCGGATCGGAGATGATTTTCTAGACTGCTCCTACCCAAGCTCCGGTACCGCCACCAGAATTAGCCAGAGGCCGCAGCGCGGCTAATCCCAGAGTCCTAAACAAAGAGACTTGGGGAGAGCCGGTGCTGGCTGGGGTGGGCAGCGAGGCGCACAGTGGCCTCGGAGGCCACACAGGCCGGATAACCGACCTCCCGGGAGTGACCAGTGGCGTCTGCACACCTAGGCCTGACGAGGCGGTGGGAGGGCGGCCAGTATTTGCTGACCCCTGAAGAGATCACAGTGGTGGCCGCTGACTGAGCACTCTGGCCAGTTCCAGGCTGTGACTACGCCCACCGTGGACATCAGCCCGGCGGCGGCATCATGCTCTTGCCGTGCTACTCACGTCCCCTCACTCGCCAGGAGGCCCGGTATCTCCCTCCCGGGTCAGGGAGTGGGGGTGCAGAGGTCCGTGCCTCGGCGGGGATCACTCAGTGCCTGGGGAGCTGAGGCGCGGATGCGTGCAGGCTGCAGTCTGGCCCCGCGCCCCCCACGGCGCTGTTCACTGGTTAGACTGCGGGCAGGTCACCACTTCTGTCGCAGGGGAGAAATGCACAAGTAGCCGGAAATTCTGGAGAAAAACAAGAAACTGCCGTAGAGAGCCGCTGGACAGGCTGCAGGACAGAGGGCAGGGGAGGCCGCAGGGGGCCGCGTTCAGGCCCTGGCTCCGCCTGACTTGCGCCAGAGGCGCGGCCGGTCATCTCACTGCCTCTGTGGAGTGGACACTGGCAGCCTGGCTTTTGGTGGGGCACGGCGACGTGAGCCACTGCGAAGCGGTGATGACTGTGCCTCTCGACGCCGCTGCAGCCCGTGTGCCAACAGGGCTTGCAGCTCTGCGCCTGCTGAGGCGTTGCTGACCGTTTCCCGTGCCCTAGTTGCTGCTGTCCGGCGTCATCTCGTGTTTCCTGCGGACATCCTGCAGTGTAGCGTCTGGGCCCCCTTTCCAGAGGACGCAGAGCCCCGAGCAGTGAAGCAGCTTGTCAAAGTCCCTTAGTTATGTCATCTAATGCTGCTAGTCGCCGCGGTCGCCGAGCCCTGGGCCTCCACTCGGGCGCGGGAAGCCAGGGCGCGTTGAGCGGCCTGTTTCTCTTGCAGGTGGGTGTTCGTGTGGGAGAAGGGCTACCAGGAGACGGACTCCGTGGTCAGCTCAGTCACCACCAAAGCCAAGGGCGTGGCCGTCACCAACACCTCAGCCCTGGGGTTCCGGGTCTGGGACGTGGCCGACTACGTGATTCCGGCCCAGGTAGGCCACCCGCCACCGCCGCCCAGCAATGCCCAGCCTGTGCGCGCACCTGCTTGCAGCGCCCGGGTCCGCCGCGGTGCCCAGCCCAAGGTGTGCGCCCGGCACCGGCAGCGGGGCCTGCTGCCCATGGGGGTGCAGTCGGCCGGGCAGCGCGGGCCTGGCCACAGACCCTCCCTGTGGGCCTCGTAATCTCCACGGAATGGTGGGGAACGCTGGCCCCGAGCCCAGGGAGAGATGCACAGATCCCACTTCCTTTTCTGTTATTTGCTTTATTGTCGACCCTCATGGCACAAGTTTCAGCTAATGTCGACAGGCCAGCACCAGCAAGGCCTGGCCACGCAGAGGCCACCGGCCAGCAGACCCCTCGCAACGTCTCAGCCGCCCAGGCTCACCCCAGCCTCCCGGGTAAATGTAGACTCGGGGCACGGCCACCGCTGTGTGGAGCGCAGACGCAACCCGGCGTGGCCCTGCGCGCCGTGCTGGGGAGACGGTGGCCACGGCGGCTGGACTGCCTGCCCCTGCACACCGCCCTGGCAGAGCGGGGCCAGTAGAGCCTATCTGCTGTGGGCGTACATGCCCCGGCCTGCTCAAAGAGGGCTTGGGGAATGCCAAGGAGTAACCGGGACATGAGGAAGGGGGTCGCTGACCTGAGGCCTGTCAACACTGGCCCTCTTCCTGGGAGGGCCGGCTCGGAAGACCGTAACTGTTTCCAGTAGCAAAGAGGGGGACAGGACACCCCCTTCTTCTGACTCCCTCAGGGCGGGGTTGGGGGCTCGCAGTTTGCAGCCCCCTCCCGAGTGCTCGGGCCGTCCCTGTTTCCCCAAATACGGGGCACAAACAGCTGTTGGCCCTGTAGCTACTTGGCTCGGCTCCAGACAGGTACACCCCAAACTTGCCAAAGAAAAGAAACAGGACTCAGGCGGTCGACCACAGAGCTGCTCTCATCCAGCCGGGGGCCAACGCACTGTTATCCCGTAGACCTGGGGCGGGGGCGGGAATTGTGCCCGGCCGTCCGCCGTCCTCACGCCGGGGCCTGCTCTGGGCCTTCTCCGAAACATGGCAGCATCCCCACAGCTCCTGCCACCTCGGGGCGGGCACCCAGTCCCGGTGACCCTGCTCGTCCTACAAGGAGAACTGTTGAGAGAATCTTCTGACACCAGCCGCCCCAGCCAGCTGCCCCGGGAGGGGGGTCCAGCTAGCATCTTCTGGGCATGTGCCTTTCTCCCCTTTTCTGGGGGCCACTTTTAGCACTAACTCCCTCTCCCCCTCGCTTCCTGGCACACACTGGCCTTGTCCTATCCCTGCGGGCTGGCCTTGGGCCTTCCCTGTCGGGGAAGCACACGTGTGGCCGGCTCCGGCTCCCGGCAGCACGTTCTCGGGGTTCCGGTCATCCTGATGGAGCAGGGCAGGGCTTCGCCCCGTTCACGGCCCAGTCACATTGTGCTATGGCTGGGCTGCCTCTGGTCTGCTGTGAAGACCCTGCTGTGGGCACGAGTGCTCAGTGCTGCTTGCAGGCCCTGCCCCTGGCTTGGCCGGGAACTCACAGGGCAAACGCGAGACCGTCAGCTCAGAGTTTGGGGAGTGTTTCCTGCGTGGCGAGCAGGAGAGGTGGGCGTCGGTGGCCTCCTGGGTGAACGCCCAGCCCTGCGCCTGCTCTGCCCCACGCCTGACCGTCCCTGGCACTCAGCCTGCCTCTCTGCCGCTCCGCAGGAGGAGAACTCAATCTTCATCATGACCAACCTGATCATCACCACAAACCAGACGCAGGGCCTCTGTCCTGAGGTAGGCGTGCCGGGCCGCCCGCCGCGTGTGTGGGGCGCGGGCCACAGGGGCTTTCCACTCCTCCCCCTCTCCCCAGATGCCGGACAGGACCACCGTGTGTGAGTCGGACGCCAGCTGCACCGCTGGCTCTGCGGGCACCCACAGCAACGGTAGGCGCCCAGCGGCGGCCCCCCGCACACACAGTGGGGGCCAGCACCCGCCAGGCCCGAGAAGCCCGGTGCCGGAGCCCGAGGGGCCAGGCGCCCACAGAGGGCCCTCTCCACACCCAGTGTCTCTGCGCCCTGAAGCCCCCCCTGATCTCGAGCTGCGCCGGGCCTGGCGTCACCTGCACCTGGTGGGCGGAGATGAGACCAGGCGGGGCCGGCCCATGCCCCGAGCTGCCATCTCCAGACATAGGTCCCAGAGTTTGGTCCCTTGCCCCGCGGGGGTGGGGCTCCTCCCTGCTAAAGCACAAACCGAGACCCCAGGCGGATCGGGCCCCTGTCCCCCAGGCGTCCAGACAGGAAGGTGTGTGCACTTCAACAAGACCCTGAAGACGTGCGAGGTGGCAGCCTGGTGCCCGGTTGAGGATGACTCGGAGGTGCCACGGTGAGCCCCGGAGGCTGGGGCAAGGGCAGTCGGCCTCAGGTGCGGCATTTCTGGGCACCCGTGTCCCTGGGCCGGGCTGCCCCGGGGCGTTGGCTGCTGACCCCGTGGGGGCTGCAGTGTCCGTCCCTTGCAGCAGTGTGCGCATGGCTCGTTTCTGTCCGCTGCCAGCACAGCTGGCCGGCGCCGGTCCCCAGGGCCCGGAGTGCCCTGTGCTCTCGCAGCCCGGGCAGCCGCGCCTCCGCCGGCCACGGCAAGTGGGCACCATGGCTGGCTCGGGGCTCTGGGCACGACATCGCACTCCACCTCACCCGGGTGCCTGGGCAGGAGAAACACCCGAGAGACGGTGACTTGTCTGTCGCGGCGGGCCCCAGCGTCTCGTGATGAGAGAACCTTCCAGCACTGCGCTCTCCAGCGTGGGAGCCAGGGCTGTGTGGCGTCCATCGCTCAGCCAGAAGAACCTGTGCAGTCGCACGGAATATACCCAAGGCCACGGCGGGCGCCGGGGGGGGGGGGCAAGCAACCTCGTTCGTGACGCGGCTGTCACGTGCCGGCTGATGGGCTCGCCACTTACTGGTGCGGCCTCTAGAAAGCCGCAGGATGGCCTGTGCCGCGGTGTGTTGCACTGGCCGTTGCTGGTCCAGTTCAGTGAAGGTGGCCCTGGGCAGGACCGAAAGGGCGTCCAGTCATGTGCTGAGAGACGCTCGCGCTGACTGCTCGGCCCCGTCGCCGAGGCCGAAGCAGAAACCCCGGTGGGAAGTGCCCGTGCTGCCTTTATCAGTCGCTGATTTCCATTTTCCATAAAGAAAAAGCCCAATGTCGCACCTTGGACGGCCAGTGATGGTCAGCGCACTCTGGCATCACTGTTGTGGGCCCTACAGCGGCCGTCAGCCTGTGCGGGTGACCGCCATCACTGTTGCAGTGGGAAGCTGCCCTTGAAAAGGGCTGTCGAGAACGGAAGTTGACCCAAAAGGTAGAATCAGCCCAAATGTCCGCAGCAGAGGGGCCAGCAAACAAGACCGGGACACCCGGACAGCAGCGCTCAGCTCCGGGGGGAGGCGATGCGGTGTGAAGGGACCCACTGCGGGCCAGGGCAGCGCGGGGCCCGGGCGTGATGCTGCAGGGGGAGCGAGATGGCCCCCTCGCGTCATGCGACTGCCGCGGCGTGACGGACACTACACCCCCGGTGTGTCCAGGGCTGCCCGCAGGGCAGAGAGCAAGCCAGCGGCCCAGGTGCCGGGGAGCAGGGAGGACAGCGCCCACTTCGGGCCTGGCTTCCCTCGGAGCCGCGAGAACGGGGCGGTGGCGGGCTGAAAACTCCTGGACACCCCAGCTGTTCCCCTCGAAGGGGCTCATTCCACGCTGTGAATGGCACCCCATTTTCTTAAAGCTGAGTGCATCCTAAAAGCCCGGGACGTGAGGCTCAGTGCGGCACCTGTGCAGGCCACTGCAGCTCGAGAGCCTGCAGGCAGGGCAGAGGCGCCGCGGGGAGGCGCCGGGCCGGGCGTTGCTTATGGCTTCGGGGGCTCTGCCAGGGCTGGGGGGCGGGGCCTCCTCGACAATGGCTGGACAGTGCTGGGCTGTCCTGGGAGAGCCACAAGGAAGTGAGGTCTGCTGGGGACAGATTCCACTCAGACTCCCAGCTGGGAGCTGACGTGGCCGAGGCCATCTGCTCGGTGTGGAGACGAGGTCAGGTCCAGCCGGGGGCGGATTTGCTTTTGCTCTGACGTGTACAAACGGACCTGACGCTCATTCCCCGAAGCCACAGCAAGACGCAGGGAGGCCGCAGGTGCGCCCAGCTCAGGGCTCCGCCCACCGTCTCCGCCCACCGTCTCCGCCCAGGCCCGGCTTCGCGGAGGCGGCCAGAGGCTGCTGCAGGGACCTCTCCACCGAGCACGAGCACCGATGGGGCGAGCGAGCACCGATGCGGCGGGGAGTGGAGGGTGCTGGAAACACCCTCCCTGGACCAGATGTGCTGTGTGGCCTGGCGTGGGAGGGAGCCTTTGTCACGGTCGGGGAGTGTCGCGCTGGTCGTCACGGACACCGTCATTGCCTTTCCAGGCCCGCGTTCTTAAAGGCTGCAGAAAACTTCACCATTCTGGTGAAGAACAACATCTGGTACCCCAAGTTTAATTTCAGCAAGTGAGTGGCGCCCCGCCATCCGCTCCCCAGCCTGGCTGCGGCTGGCCCCCCCTCACGCCGCTCTGGCCCTCCCGCCTGCAGGAGGAACATCCTCCCCAACATCACCACCGCCCACCTCAAGTCCTGCACGTACGACGCGGCAACCGACCCCTTCTGCCCCATATTCCGCCTCGGCAAGATGGTGGAGTCCGCGGGACACAGCTTCCAGGACATGGCCATGGAGGTGGGTGCCCGCTGGGGCTGGCCCCCACCGTGCCCGCCCTGTGGCGCTGAGGGCCGCGCTGTGCCCGCCCACAGGGAGGCATCCTGGGCATCCACATCCGCTGGGCCTGCAACCTGGACCGAGCCGCCGCCCTCTGCCTGCCCCGGTACTCCTTCCGCCGCCTGGACACGCGCGACCCTGGCCACAACGTGTCTCCCGGCTACAACTTCAGGTGGTGTGAGCTGGGCGCCCTGGGTGGGGGGCGGGTCCAGAGCGGCCCCGCCCCTGCCGTGCCCCCAGGACCGCCCCCCCCTCCCGCCTCCCCCCACCCCACTCCCCGCCGTGCCTCTGCTGGGAATCCGTGGGCAGCGGCCGGAGCGGCCCTGGTGTCCCCAGTGGGAGGCGCTGGCCGGCTGCGTTCCAGCTACACCCGCTGCTCAGAGGCCTGAGGCCCAACACGGGGTGCCTCGCCCCCTCCATGGGGCTGCCAGACGCCCCTGGGCCCACTAGACCCCCTCGCGCCTGGCCTGGCCTCTCGCCACCTCCGGCTGGGCTTTACCTGCGGTAATCACAACGGCGAACACCCTCACAAGCTGGGGGCAGTAACCCCGGCAGCTGGGCATCTGAGGCGAGGGGCCAGAGTCAGGGGTCCTGCTTTCCGCCAGCTGCAAGGCTGTGGCCCCCAACAGTTTCCGAGCCGGGAGCTGGGCCTCTCACAGGCTTGGGGCCTGCCCTAGGCTGCTGGTGCTTGCCACCCTCTGGTGGTGAGGGGGGTGGGGGTAGTCTCGGGCTCGTGTCACAACATCCCTCTGGGTGGACCTGGAAGCCTGGACAGTGCGGTGGGGCCTCCACCTTGCCAACCCCAGGCCTTGAGAGCCCCTGGCCAGAACCCCAGCACAGGACACCCCCGCCCCCCAGCATCAGGGCTGGCACCGAGGTGGAGATCCTGGGCAGGGCAGACCTGCAGGAGGGCTGGGCTCAGCGGGCCATAAACCGGCCTGGGGAGTGGCGGTTGGGGGGGGCCCAGCCGCCCTGTGGGCGTCCCTACTGAGACAGCTCTTGCCTTCACGGTCCCCGCATCTGAGCACAGGACCTGACCGGTCAGAGTGGTGGCCAGTGCCGGCGTCACCAGCCACGGGCTGGGCCGGCCCAGCTGGACACCAGCCCCTGGGTTGTCACTTCCAGCCCTTCCCCGAGCCCCACGCCGCCAGCAGCCCACTGTGCAGCTGCGTGGCCGGCCTCTGGGCTCCCAAGCAGGCCTCTCCGCCGCGGGTGACCAGGGCCAGAGCTCGGGGCGTCTGCCAGCCGGCCCCACTCACCCTGCATGTGCCTCCCAGGTTTGCCAAGTACTACCGGGACCCCATGGGCACGGAGCGCCGCGTGCTCACCAAGGCCTACGGCATCCGCCTGGACGTCATCGTGTTTGGAAAGGTAGCCAGCGCCCCTGGGCCCTGGGTGGCCAGCCCAGCCCAGCGCTGCCGTCTCCCTTTCCTCCCGCACTGCAGGCCGGGAAGTTCAACATCATCCCTACCATGATCAACGTGGGCTCGGGCTTGGCGCTCTTGGGGGTGGTGAGTCACAGGGGGACCCTCTAGACGCGGCCCTCGGGGTCTCCCCGGCCCGCCCCACACCGGGCCTGGGGACGGGTGGGAGCACCTGGCCCTTCTCTCCCGGCCCTGCTCAGGCCACAGTGCTGTGCGACATCATCGTCCTCTACTGCATGAAGAAGAAGCTCTACTACCGCGAGAAGAAATACAAATACGTGGAGGACTACGAGCAGGTGGGCCGCCGGCAGGCACCCAGCCCGGCATCGGGGGCGCAGAGGCGGCCTGGCCTCAGCCCACCCCGCGCACCCCTTCCCGCCCCGCGCACCCTGCCCCTCCTGCTCTCCAGCTCGTGCCCCCGCCGACCCGCTTTTTAAAGTCTCCTCAGTGGGCGTCTCGGAGTAGCTGGAGCCGAGGCGGCCGAGCCCCTCAGAGCACCACCGCCCGGCCTGGCCTGGGCCGGCAGCCTGAGACCCGGGAGACCGGTGCAGTCGCTCGGCATTGGGGCTCGCAGCCGCCTGGGGCGCACGCCTGGCCCCCAGCTCGCGGCGGCCGCGGGGGCCCTGGCCGCCCACTTACCTGCCGCCGTGCTCTGCAGGGTCTCGGCGACCAGCTGGACCAGTGACGCCCCGGCCAGCTCCCCAGCAACCAGGCGGGACACGGCTGCCGGTCACTCCGACGAAGGGCCAGGCTGGGTCCTGCTGACTCCGTCCCCCTCGGGCTTCCAGGTGGCCAGCGCCCACTTCCTGTAGGGTCGACCTGGGGTGGCCCACGGGTCTCCCCTGCTGTTGCTGCAACTGGGGGCCGGGGCGACCCTGGGCGCCTGGCCGGCACTGCGGGGCAGTGGCCAGGCCCGGCCAAGCCCAGCGTCTGCACTGCTGCCCCTCTGCTGCGCAGTCCCGAGCCCACCGCCGCGCCCAAGGAAGGACCCTGGGGGTCGTGCCCGCGGCTGCGGCTCTGCTTCCCTGGCCGGGGCTCCCTCTGCCCTGTGGGGACCCTGTTCTTTGCCCCAAGCAGAGCCCGTTGAGATGATTAAGGACCAAACATTAAAACAGACGATGCCCTTGCCTTTGCTGTCTCTGGGCCTGAGCTGGACCCTCCCCACTTCCTGGTCTCCCTCCAGGAGCCCCAGGCAGCCCCTGGCCGGCTCAGGCGCTACCCCCAGCCTTTCTTAAAGGCTCCCGTCCTCAGGTTGGGTCTGTGGTGGCCTAGGGTGCCAGTGACTGCACCGTGGGCACCAGGGACCAGGCGTGGGGGACACAAGGCTGCCTCCCACCTCGGCCATCTGCGCTCAGGAAGTCTGCAGCAGGCAGCACGCCCGCACCTGCCGCCTGGAGATGCTAATGACGCTATTTCCAGCTCCCCCTTCACACCTCCTGGGGCCTGTGCTCAGGGCCCCCTAAAGCACCAGCCCGCCTGCCTGCCAGTCTCTGCTGCAGCCTGCTGGGCTCCCGCGGGCAGTGCCTGGGCTGAGCTGTCTCACCTGGCGGTGGCCCCAGGGGGTGGACCCTGCGGGATCCAGGGACGGCCGCCCTCAAGCGCCTGAGCCGGGTTCGGGTGGGGCCGCCCCTCTGGCCCTCCACTGGCTAAGGCGGAAGCCAGGACTGAGGGTGCGGGACAGGCTGGCTCACTGCTCAGAGCCCCCCAGCTTCCGGCGGTGCCCAGGCGGCCCTGCGTCTGCCCTGGGAGGCCGCTGGGTCTCTGGCTTCATCACAGTGGGGGAATCGGGGGGGCACGGCCTGTAGGCCAGCTGGTGGGGGGCCGTGTCAGCTGAGCCCCCTACGGAAACCAGCCACCTGCTGGGCCCTTGCCAATTGACCAGCTGTGCTCCTGTGTGCCTCTGCTGGCCAGGGACAGCCCGTGAGGAGCCGGTTTCGGTCTCCCAGCAACCGCCACCGGTCCCCGGCCGCCTGCCTGCTCCCGTCAGGCCAGCAGCAGTGGGCCCCGGTGACGGGGCTCGTGGTGCTGCCCCTGTCGAGTGGGGACTACGCGGGCAGCAGAGCTCACGGTCAGTCCAGGGGAGAGACACGGCCAAGGGCGGCGCCCAGAGACGGCTGCTGCGGGAACCAGAAATTCCCAGAGGCCCTGGGCTTTGCACCATTTGCTGTCTGTTTATTTCAAGTTTACAGAGAAGCATAAACATCTGTGGAAAAACACCAAAGGCTTGTTTTTTTCTCTGAAGCCCGTGTCCGTTTAAGTGATAAATACACAGTATTCAACTCTGTACACCTGACAAGGGGGGATGCATAGTAGAAAGGATCAGGAGTCAGACAGAAGCATCGGGCGTTGAGTGGGCGCAGAGTAGAAAAGCTGGCTGCCCCACGAAATTCAGTCGGTCAAGCTGCAGCCGAGATGGGAGCCGGCGACCTTGGGACCTTCCCTAGCACCTTGGAAGCAAGTGGGGGCCCGGCTGCCCCCCAGGAACGTGCAGATCCCCTGCAGGCCGGCAGAGGGGGGTGCCGGGCTCAGCCCCGGAGCACAGGTGTCCGCCCCCCGCCTGTCCCAGAAGGGCTGTGAGGACGGAGCCCGCCGCAGCCTCGCCAGCCCCAGTGCCAACAGGGGCTGGCCAGGGGCAGGGGAACAGCAGGGTGTGGGCAGGGGCCCTGCGGGGGCAGCACCCGGGCAGCGCCCACCCCCGCAGGCAGCCGCACCGCGGGCTCTGGAGACCTCAGCGGCTGCAAAGTCAAAGCCCGAGCGCCCTCTGCCCCGAGCACGTGCCCTCTGCCCCGAGCCCTTCACACTTGCGTGGGGCAGGGTCCTCTCCATCACCGCCTTGGGTGTTTGGAACTACCACCACACCTTTGGCGTGGGCTCCCCGCTGCCGTGCCCACGGCCTGGCCGCTGCCCGCACTCCACAGGCAGCCTGGTGGCCGCCAGACGCCCCAGGGGCCCGCCAGGTCTGCAGAAGGCTGGGCCGGGCCCACCCGACAGGGGACAGGGGACAGGGACGGTGGCTACAAGGTGCTGCGTCTGCTCGGAGGCGGAGCCCGCACGCCTAAGGGGGGCCGGCGGCAAGCAAGGCGGGGGTGGG